ATAATAAAATGAGATAAAGCATGAAAAGCACAGACTGTAGTGATTGGCATATACTGAGTCGTCAATAAATGTTAAGAATAAAGGATCTATGGTGTGTATGGTAGGAAGGGAGAAATATTTTATTTGAAATAGGCTTTCTAATTGCCCCAAATATAATCTTTTATGTAAGAATACTTCGGAGTTCTTGTTTGTTTTATAAACACACATCCTGCAAATAAACCAGTTTAGTCAGTTTATAGAATTCAGATATAGTATGTGTTTCTGTGAAAAGCTCTCCTTCTCTGACTCATGGAAATGATAAAGAATAATCCAAAACGCAATAATTAACATATTCTTTTGGGGGAGTGTAGTGAATATTTGCTTTTCCTTTTTTTTTCTTCTGTTGATTCTACCTGCTGTTAGTGTGATACGAACATGCCCTTCAGCCTATTATTGCCTATCACACTGGGTTTGAATGCTCAGCCTGGGACCCTCTTGGCAGAGCTGTCCCTACAAGTACCAAAAATAGAAACATACAGATGGCATGCTATCCATGAAAGAATGATGTTGACCTAAAAGTTGTGTCCTCATCCTCAGGCTGAAGTTCTGTCAGGAAAGAGGGATGGGTAAAAGTGCCCATTTCCCACCCAGTCATTCGTCTCCACCACTGCCAATGTGGCACCTGTACTGAATGTATTGGGGATACAGAACACATGGCAGTGCCAGAGAGAAGAAATGGTCGACTCAAGTGGAAAACTGCAGGAGTCTGTGCAAACATGGACAAGCGACATAGGCTGGGTGGAAACTGGTGAACTGGAGAGCATATGGTTCAGGCAGGGCAGCTGCTACTTACCTCCAGCTGATAGTGGCCATGTGAGAAGGTAGACCCAGACTTGCCAGGAACTCCAGTTTGCAGGAGAAGCTGAAAACCTGGATTTTTTAATTCGAATCGTTCAGTTTCCAAATGTTATTGTAAAATGGAGAAATCAATTTTTAAAGAGCATTTGTATGTGCATATGTGAGTACATACATACATATTCACAAATCCTATTCCATTTCTCTGGAGAACACTGACCCACACACACACACACACACATACACACATTACTTAGAGCAGAGGAAACATGGAGGAAGACAAAGACAGAAGCTAAACTTCCTCAAATATATCTTGTTTTGTATATTTGACTTTGATGCTCTATAAATAGTTTATAAATCCATAAAATAAAATTAGACTTTAAAAAAGCAGCCATGAAAAATAGAAAGGCGAGGGAGAGGGGAGAAACAATTGAACCTCACTGGACATCAGGTTAGTGGCATAACCTCACTGAACAGAACAATTTCAAGTGATTCTGAAACCCAGTAATTTGACTGTACTTCCCTAGCAGGACATACTTTAAATATTTTTTAAAAGACAAATTTTAAATGTTTTTTCTTAATCATAGTGTTAGTGTGGTAGTGGCGTTCATGTTCTGAAACTCTTCTGTGTGTGTATTGTGGGTTAAATCAAATGAGTAATTACGGTGGTGTTATTGAGAATGTGGATTTTTGGTATAGAAGAAAGGTAATAAAATGGTTAAGATTCTTGAGGTTAAACAAAAACCTTCAAGCCCTGAGTCTGAATTGAAGTTCCATGTGAACTCATAGTATTTTCTATTTAAAAACATATACCTTGTTTTCTAGCTTTGTCCACAGAAACAAGGGCCAATCCAGTAGCAATGAGCACCCAAAGTGCCCCAGGGCTTTTTACTAGAAATGGCTGCTTCCAGGCCTGGGGCAGGGCATGTAAGATAACTCTGGAACATATGAGAGGCTAGAGGGCCATTAAAGACGACAAGGTTGTATTATACACGAATTTAAGGGTCAACTTGACGAGGCTCCCCTGAGCAACGGGAGGACACTTAGAACATCAATAGAAATAAAAACTGTGCTGGAATGAAACACATCAAAATATTTAGAGTGATATTTAAAAAATAAAAATCTTGTTGATCATTTTTGGAGGATATTAGGTAACCAATTCAATATTTTGAAGATCAGTAAATAAAGGAGGAAAAATCAAGTATCTCTCAAGTTTCTATGTGAACTATAATTTAGGAGAAACATAGTTGATTACATGAAATTTCTCTTGATAGAAAATCCCAGCCAATAAATTAAGGAGAAATAAAAGAATTATTTTTAACACCAATTTTAAGTCTCTAGCGAAATAATGGCTCCTCTAGGCAAAGATCCCCAATGTCTGATGACATCATAGCAAAAGATATTATGTGCCTTCTCAGAGCAATACTGTGTGTGGCAGGCAGAAAAATGCCCTCCACTTCAAAGACATCAGTGTCCTAATCTCAAAACCGACAAATGTGATACATTACATGGCAGAGAGGAATTAAGATTACAGATGAAATTATGGTTGTTAATCAGTTAATCTTAAAATAGTCAGATAATCCTGGATTATTTAGATGTGGATGAGGGAGGCAGAAGAGACATCAGAGTGACTGGATATGAGACAGACTCGACCAACCGTTACTGACTTTAAAGGTGAAAGAAGGCCACAAGCCCAGGAAAGTGGAAGCCTCACGCAGCTAGAAAAAGCCCAGACGTGGAGTCTCCTTTAGAGCCTCCAAGAAGAAATGTAGTAGCTCTGCTGACATCTTGGTTTCAGTTCTTTGAGTCCTGGTTCAGATGTCTAATGTACAGAACTGCAAGATAATAAGTTTGTGTTGTTTTAAGCCATTAAGTTTGTGATTATTTGTCATGGTAGCAAAAGAAAACTTATATATTCTATTTTCTGGGCTGTATTCTTTCTAGAAAACTAAGTCTGAATCTGATCAAGCCTCTTGATCTAACTACCAATTTACAGGAAATACCGAGCACCTTATATGAAATTATGGCAATGTTCAGCAAAATTTGAGCAATGCTATTGGAAAAATGTTTTATTTATCAAATTGAGTGAGTGAGTGTGTGTGTGTGTGTGTGTGTGTGTGTGTGTATGTGTTTACATGTGAGAAAGTGACCTAGGAGATTTTAGGAGATGACCTAGTACTTTATGTATCAAACTATTGCAGTATGAAACTTGATTCAAATAAAATAGAGAAAATAGATATTAATGCAATTCAAATTTTGACACTAAGTATCTGATGATGTTAAGGAATGATTATTTTTTGGTGTTGTAATTGTATGTTTAAACAAGCAGGGCTGGTGTGGTGGATGCAATATGTAACAATAGACAAATTGATAATTGTCGAAGATGAATAATAGGCATATAAATGTTTGCTTTTTATTCTTTCTACTTTTGTATATTTTTTTAAATATTTCCATAATAAACTATTAGTAAAAACAGTAGTAACTAATTCGACTTCTTCAGTGTGTTGTGAGCCAGACACACCTTGTACAAAGACTGGATTTTTGCATAATTTCAGAAAAAGGATCTTTCGCTTTAACCTGGGGTATCATTCTTTTCTCTTTCCCCACTCATCTTCTGCCTCCATTCTCTCTGCACCACCTAACAAAAAGGGCCTCCTTCATCGGGGCAAGTGAATGACTGGCGGGCGTTGCAGACTGCTCGAACAGAATTTTCTTAGAATAA